GTTAGTAGTTGTTCTTGGTAGGAAGGTTAGTCTGACACCAGCTCCTCCATCATAGCCAGAAGTGAAAGTCCCCCTCCATATTTTATCTTACAAACCTAAGATTCACTTATGCTTAAAATGTTAGGAAATAGTCTGGACATACAAAAAGGTATAAAGGATAATATAATCAACATGTATGGTAACTTCACTCAGTTTTACCAAACTATTGAGACCCTGGAATACCCCCCACCATTACGTCGCCTCCTTTTCTACACTATTCAAAGCTTGATGTTGTTCATCATCCCCTTGAATTTCCCTATACTTTCAGGACACATGTATGTTCATCTTAACAATACATATAGAGCTGTTGTACATGGTTTTAAGTGTGACATAGAGGGTGTTATTATGCATATGTTCTTCTCTCATTTTTTTTTCACTGTATATTTTGTTTGTAAGAGTCATTTGCTTTGTTGTGTGAAGCTATGATTCATTTTCACATTGAGTGATTACACCACAATTTATCTTTCCATTCTCTCGCTGGTGGGTATTTAGGTTGTTTCCAGTTTTTCAATATTAAAATCAATGCTGTTATAAACATTTCTGCGTATGCTTCTTGCTCACATGGAGTGTAGTAGTGTACACAGGAGTGAAATTGCTGGGTCTTAGGGCAGGCACTTGCTCAGGCTTCTTAGACCATGCCAGACTATTTTCCAGACCAGTCGTATTAACTTACATTTCCACTAGCTGTGAATGAGAGTTCCCATTACACCACGTCCTCAGCAGCATATGATGCTGTCAGACTTTTAGTTTTTGCCAATCTGATAAAATTAAAATGGCATGTCATTGTGGTTTTTATTTGCATTTCTCCGTTGACTGTGAGGTGAAGCACTTTATAGTCTCCACGGCACCTACTTCAATCTGATTTCCTACTCCTAAGCTTCTCCTCTTCCCCAGAACCTCCTGAAATTTTGCCGACTTTTGGTCTGAATTACCACAACCCCAGAAATCATTTCTCAGCACTGGAGCCTGGTGGGTAAACACCACTGCAGGGCTCCATCCATCCAACCCTGTGCTGGAATGCTCCACATGCAATGATGCATTTAGTGCTCACACAAACCTGCAGCAGAGTCATGACCCCCTTCTTACAGATGAGAAAACAGAGAATCAGAGGGGTCAGGAACTTACCCAGGGACACACAGCTGGGGCCTGAAAGACTCCAAGCCAGGCGCTCTTCACTCCTCTGTGCGAGACTGCAGAGGTAGGTGCTGCTGCAGGGGCTCCCATAGCAGGAAGGCCTTTGGGGCACTTCTAGCCTTCGCTCAGGAGGCACAGCTTGTGGTCTGGTGTGCGTCTGGGAAGTAAGTTTCAGTTGCCCTCAAGAGTCAGCCTGAGTGGGGAGACCCATAAAGGGGTAGATTCAGGGCAGGGAGGACGGTGGCACAGGGAGGAGTCCCCACTTGGTGTGCGGGAGCACGGAAGACTTTGTTGTTCAAGGATGATGCTTCCTATAATTGAGTGGTTTGTTTTAGATGATAAATATCGTCATCTGTGGAGATAAGATCCATTCTATGTAGACATTCAGCATCACGGAGCAAAGACTCGGTGGGCCCCCTAGTGAGAGAGCTAGACCCTTTTCAACCTTCTTTCAATCCTCTGATGGTGGAGGAGTGAGACTGTTTGGTCCTAGGATGTCTTAAACGCCTCTCTGACACTCTTTGATCCTGCTTTTTAAACAAAGGCAGACCAGGTCCCCAAGTCCTAAGAGTCCCAGGCAGGGGATAATATCTCCCTAAAAGTCAGCTACTGTCTTCTGTTTTCCTTATATTTAGTTTTTACATTTCATTGTATTTAGTTTTATGGCAAGTTGACTGTTTTGCTTAAGAAACACTTATATAACCTCTACTAAACTCCAGGCACTGTTCCAAATGCTTTACAAATACTGACTAATTTAATTCTCCAGGGGACCCTGTGAGGTAGACGCTGTTATTATTATCTCCATTTTACAGAAGAGGACCCTGAAGCCCAGAAAAGTTAAGCGAACTTCCTGAGGTCACACAGCCTGTAAACAGTGGTGCTGGGATTTGAACTGAGGCAGGCTGGCCCCAAGTCTGTTATAACCACGGTGGTACACACTGCCTCTCCATTTCATACTAGCTGTCTGTTGATGGTAGTGATATTATATTTGCTTTTGAGACATGTTATTGGGGCAAAAACTAGGAGATAAGATAAAGATAAATAGCAAGTAGATAGCACCAGTGTAAACCTTGAAGGCAATAAGTGGCAGGAGTTCTAGAACATTCCAGTGTGGCTTCATGGTGCAAGGATAGAGCAGGTGGGTCAAGAAGGCTGAGTTTAGAGTGATGGGAGGGGGAAAAGGTGGTCAAGGAGAAGACTCAGCATGAGAATTTGCCTCACGCAAAAGCAGAGAGGCATGACAGGGCCTGGGGGTCTGGGGGCTGGTGAGTCATTCAGAGCCACTGGCCAGTAATAGCAAGAATCCAGTATCTTCGTGTAGTATTTCACAGTTCACAGGGCACTGTCATCTCTGCTTTCCCACCGACTCTTCTTAACTGCCAGCTGCAGTGGGCACTGTGGTCCCCATTTTAGAGATGATCACTGAGCTTAGAGAGTAGCAGGGCCAGAGAAGAGCTGTTATGTGCTCCAAGATCTTCTGGCTTCAACTTCTGGGCACTTTGTTCTATTTCACTGTATCAGGTATCTTTGGCAGCAAGCAACAGAAACATAGTTCAACACCGTTGAGCAAAATAGGTGTTTTTTGACTTATGTAAATGAAAAGTCTAGGTATGGACATCCAGTATGGCTGGATCCAGGTCCTCAAATGGTCCCATGGGAACTCTGGATCTGTATTTCTCAGTATTGGCGTCATTCTCACGCAGGCTCTCTCTAAGAGGTGACAAAGAGAGCTACCCACTTCCAGCAGGCACCCAAAAAAGTATCTCTTTACTAGAGTTCTAGAAAAACTCCCAGGCTGCTCTCATTGGCTGTGCCTGGGTTGGTGTCCACCTCTGATCCATTCACCGTGGCCAGGCAGGTGGGGTGCATTACTGGCCAGGCCTGGGTCGGGTGCCCGCCCTATGGAGCAGGGGTTCGAGTCAGCTCCACTCAGACCATATAGGGGCAGCTCCAGTTTGAGGAGCTCTTTATATGAAGGCAAGGGATGCCAGGAAGACAGAAGCAGCAGATGGCTCCTCTCTGTCCCCAGGGGCCTGTGAGTCATTTGTGCAGAGCTGAGGAATTTGGAGGGATGAGGAGCCTTGAATGTGGGCAAAGGATTTTGTGCTTTGTTTATCCTATGGTCGAGATGGACCCGCTGGGGAGGGATGTGGCCAGAGCTGTGCCAGGCCTTGTGCTGGGGTTGGGATCACAGGGCAGACGCGCTAGGGAGTGGCAGATACGGATGGGAGGCTGAGTCCTCAAAGTGTGATGAAGGGCTCCTGCAGGGCTTGGGGCCAAGCGAGATCAGTGTTCCTTAAAGCAGATTGAAGTGGTATTTGCCCCATTATTTTATTTTAATAGTGATGTTATTCATTTTAAAGTGTTTTGGGAAAAAAATACACAATAATGGATATTATTGCTTAGGACGAGGTTGGAGTTAAATTTTTAAGTGAATTCATTTATAGGGAACACATTAAATAAATAACAGTACACATGATCTACAAATATGGCCAACATTTAGAAAGTGAGAAATTTTGGGACCTCTTGGCTAGATCACTCTGGGGCCCCTCCATTTCTGATGCTCTGAGTGCATGTCAATCACGGCTGTTTCTTGAGTGTGTACATGTCAGGGGTCATGCTCAGAGCTTTCTGCAAGTCTCTGCCTTGAATTCTTGCAAGAATCCTGGAAGTGGGCTTTACCATCTCTGCAAGGCTCAGAGAGGGGAAGTGATGGGCCCGGAGCCACATGGCTGGTAATCTGAACCTCTCTGTGCCCTTCCCCACCGCCCGCTTGGTGACTTGTCAGGGAGCTCAGGGGGAGCTCTTGATGGGGCCAGAGCAGGATCTGGGGGAACCCAGGCCTTCCCACGTGGGCTCAGGGATGGTGTCTGGAAGGAACCATGCGTGTGACTTGGTCCTTGGGTGGGTCATCCCTCTAGGCTCCAGTTCCAGCTACACCCCTGTCCGTGGGGGTGGTCTGGAGAGTCTCCGGGGCCTGGGCGGGTGGACCCACTGGCCTGTGGTTGGCACCTCCCCAGGCAGCCACAGAGCTGGGGGTGTAGCAGGCAAAGTGCCAGCTAGAGCCTGACTTTGCCACGTGATGGGTTGCTCCTCTGCCCAAGGCACCAAAGTCCACTCACCCCAGATGGGCTCATTCTGTTCTCCAAAGACGTCTCTTCTCCATCTCATCCAGAATCGGCAAGTCCAGGTCACCTTCATTTGTTCGAGCCCAAGTTCCCAGTGTGCTCCCTAGTGGGCTAACCTGGGCTTTGGATTGAGTAGGAAGGCTCATTATTGGGCTAACCTTATCTTAGTCTTCAGTAGGGGTCTCCTTTGTGGGCTGATCTTGAATTTGTTATTCAGTAAGAAGCCAATTTATTGGGCTAACGTCAGCACGAGTATTTCACGGGAAGGAGGACTCAAGATTGCTGCTCGTCAAACACCACTTTCCAAAGCAGCTTCCCCTCCCGCCCTCCTCCCCACTCCCTCCTTCTGTTTTAGATGGATAAATGCCCACATTTAATTCCACACACGAAGCTGCTTCAGTAGGCTTGGGAGGGGCAGAGGAGCAGCGAGCTCCTCCCTCTCTGAATTCACCTCTCATTTGTGACTGTTAAGGGCGACAGGAAGAAGGTGGGGGAAGTGGGGAGGGTCCCGAGGGGCAAATCAGCCACGTCTAGGGGCAGGAATCCTTAGGAGTGTCCATGGGCTCCTCAAACTCTTGTTTTTCCGAGACAAATCCAGGAATCTGAGGCAAGTCTTCCAAGGAGGGGGTGGGGACCAGAGGGAGGCTGTCCTTTGGTCCCCAGGCCCGGGCCCACCCCTCGCTGTGCGTCTCTTCCAGGCCCCGGGAGTCAGCATGCTTCGTGTCTGGGCCACCCCTTGGATCCTGCTGATGCTCCAGGGTGGTGAGTAGCTGCCCCACCATCCACAGATGGGGAGGGGCCGGGCTGGCCTGGGGGCTCCAGGGCACGGCTAGAGGCCACAGGGTGGGGGTCTATGGCGTCTGTCCACTGGAGGCCGACACAGGTTGGGTAGCCAGCTCTCCATTAACCAGAACCCCTCCAACCAGAGAGCTCCATTAGCCAGAGCGCTTCACGCGAGTCTCAAGTGGCCCAGCCCACTGGCCTAGGTCTTCACGGCTCAGCAGCGGGATGAGAGACTTCATCCTTCAGATCCACGGCTCTCTGCCTTGGCTGGTTCCCGACGCTCAGAGTGAGGAAGTCCTGCCTTTGGTCTAACCTCAGTTTGTCCTCGTGTAATGACTCTCCTACACATTCTTCAACAATCCCTGGATCCTCAGCAGGCACTGAGGTTCCTCAGAGGGAGGAGACAGGAGGTGCAGACAAAAGTAGCCAAAACCTGGGAAGGTGGCCCCTGGAGGACCAGAAGATGTTGCAGTCAGAGGGAGCGATGTTAGAGACCGAGCTGGGAAAGGCCGGGAGTTAGATTTTGGGGTGCAGCCAGGGCCGGGAGATCCAGGAAGCCTTCCCCAGCAGAGGCTCGAGCCAGGCTGGACGGGGGCAGGGGCCTCGGCCGCCGCTCTGCTGCCTCATCAGCATTTCTCTCCAGTTTTTGCCAAAAGCCCCAGAGCCTCAAATAGCTCCTCCAGGAAACAGATGTCGGGCTCCTTTATTTTCCCTTTCTGAGCGACCAGCATCCCGTCCTGGCTCTGAAGGGCCTTCAGGTCACCCACCATGGTCCGCACCCTGTGGGCACAAATAACAAGCCCCTGCTGTGTCCTGGGCACTGAGCATCATCTATTCCATTCCCCCGACGGTCCCGTGCAGTCCAAGCTGCAGTGACTCCCAGTTCTCATTGAGGAAACCGAGGCTCAGAAAGGATGAGGGACAGGTCCACGGCCACACAGGCGGCCAGTGGCAGAGCTGGGACCCAATTCCTGTGGTCTTAACTGCCTTGCTTTGCTGCTGTTGTGGAGTGAGTGCCCCGTGCAGGCAGCGTGGGCCGCACGGGGTGACATCACTCAGCACCCCACACCCTCCGATCTGGACAGTGTCCCCAGCTTACAAACAGGGGCTCCGGGCAGTCGTGAGTCGTGTCCACTGTTCGTGCCTCTCACTGCCTCCTGCGCTTTGACGTCCCCGGGCAAGGGACGGCCCTGGGGCTCTCGGCCCGGGGATCGGGGTCCTGATCAGGTAACCGGGTTATTACTCCCTCTGGTCCCTGATGCCGCCTCCATGCCAGTTCAGGGGCTGCTGTCCCCTCCCCAGTGTTTCATTCCAAGTTTGGGACACTTGCTGCCCCTGGTGGCCTTGAGCCTAGCAATGAATGGCAGGTCCTCTCGAGTTCTAGAACCCCGAGAGAGAATGACCAGGATATGAACTCCGAGAAGACGCAGCCGCACGGTGGCTCCTGCAGCCCTGGGTTCAGGTCCTGCCACAACCAGTCCTCTATCCTCCCCAGAGTGTCTGAACTAGCCCCTCTGTGCCCACTGACAGGCCCAGTGTTCCTCCCTGAGGGAAACCTCCTCCTAGAGCAGGGCTCATTTCCGCAACTCAGATCCTTGGTAGTGTCTGCCAGAAGAACTGTGTTGAGAAGGATTCTGAGGCCACACCCAAGGGAGAGAGTGCCACGATCGATTAGCAATGTCTGCCACGTGTGTGCGGATGTGAAGAACGAGCACAGACTAGATTCGCCTTTCCTGGGTGAGGGTCTCAGCAGCCCAGACCACGAGAGACAAGAGATGTGGTGCAGTCTCAGAGCCTTGGGGTTCTCATCTATAAAATGGCAATGACAGTGGACTAAAGGATGTTTCCAGCAGCAGTGATCTTGGCTTCGAATCCAGCTTCTGAGCTAGAGTGAGGCCCAGGAAGGGAACACACCACCACCCCCTGGACCTTCATTAGTCAAGGAAAAATAAGGAAAAGCCACTAAAAACGAATCCACTTAAAAAAGGGAACAAATTTCTGGTAAACACTGGGGGGCGGGGGATAGCAGAGTCGGCACTTTATCTTACAAAACAAGACTAAACTAAAACTTCAATTTATTTTATCAAACACTTAAACAAAATTTAGAGTATGATTGTTCCATTATGTTTTTAGAACAAAGAGGGAAGTGATTAAGGTTGCGGGTGAGGGAGCATTCAACCTTCCAACAGAACTGCTGGGCGGGCTACACGCGTGTCACCGGGTGGTTTGGGCAGCGGGATGACACAGACATTTCTGCAAAAGTATTCAGGGCTGCTCCATTTTCTGATGTTTCCCTGCTCCCTGGAAGCGCTCCCGGCTTCACTGAGGTCCACGTCCTGTCTTGGACCAGCTGCCTTGGAGCCGAGGGCCCCTCCTTTCCCGTTCCGGGGCATTTTCGACAGAGCTCTCACTGACTTTGTGAAGCCCGACCCCCTCCCGGGATGTGCGGGTTCGCGCTGCATCGAGGGGGGTCGGGACGCACCACGCTGAGAGGGAGACAGGCCAGGAGGGACGCTGACCTGGCCGCTGGACACGAGGCTGGCGGGGAGAGCGCTGAGCAGAGGACTCACTCAGTTTCTTATGCTTCGCATTCCAAGGGTCTGGTCCCATAGCCAGCCTTGAAACTTTGGGGGCTCAAGCAAGGAATTCTCTGGTGGCAAGGACCCCTTTGCCCTAGGCCTACATCTTAGTGGCCTGTGGTCCCCATATTCATCCTGGGCCCTGGACCCCTGCTTCTACTCATCCTCCACCCCTCGAGGGGGTGAGGGAGTGGGGAGCCCCGGAGCCCCAGGCCAGCCCCTCACCAAGACCTCTGTCTCCCTGACCCTCCAGCCTGGGGCTGCTCGGACCTCGTCTGCTACACAGATTACCTCCAGACGGTCACCTGCATCCTGGAGACACGGACCCCCCACCCCGGCACGCTCATCCTCACCTGGTGAGTGGTGAGGCCTCACCAGCCCTGGGGATGCTACTCGGGGTGGGGCGGGACCGTGGGAGCCCGCAGACTGTGTTGGACCTACTGTGTGCCAGGCAGGTGGTTTAGCAATAAAAATGATAGCTGCCACTTCCTGGAGGCTCACTCAGTGATTTCACCAACGGCATTGGGTTTCACCCCAAGAAAGACTGTGAGCTGGCAATCACCGTGCCCTTCTTACGGGACTTGCAGTTGAGAGGCCTCAGGGCAGCTCTGTCCAGCTCCAAAGGCCGTACACTCTCGTCCACACAGGCCTGACTGTGGTTTTGAAACCCCGAGACAGCCAGACTCCCATGTGATTTTTCTGAGTACTTAGTACATGCCAGGCACCCTGCTATGTCACTTCCAGTGCTCACAATGACTACTCTCATTTTACAAATGAGGACACAGGTTAGGAGAAGTTATGCAACTTGTCCAAGGTCACACAGCCAGTGAATGGTGGACCTGGGATTCAAACACAGGCAGCCTGACTCCAAAATCCATGGGCCTGTATTAGTCCATATTATTAAAGAAAAAGTTATTCATGACACTTGTTAGAGAGTGGTGAGGCAGACTTTATTCAGGCCATCATGATAGGTGCGAGGATCACTGCATGGGGTTTTGCAGTTGGGGGAGGGATTGAGATCAACCCCAATTACAACAAGGAAAATTGGGAATTTATAGCCAAGTGACAGGGTGGGGGTCAGTGGGTGGAAAATTACTAGGAGGAAATATCAGGGTGAGGGGGGTTCTGGCTAAAGCAACCTAACAGGATTCTTGCTGAAGGCAGCCGGGTGATCAGGCATCACCTGGGGGATGGGGGGGGATGAGGGACCCGATCAGATATCGAGGGTGGGGGATTCTGGCTAAACTGACTCAGCAGGGTTCTTGCTAAAATTAGACAATGCAGAGACCAGCATGGAAGCCCAAAAGCCAGGGCCTAGTTGAAAAGAGAGCTCAGAGGAGCCTGCGTGGAGTTTGGTCAAGGAGAGACTCCGTCAACATGCTGCTCAGGATAAAGAGTAGCTGGCTTTCATTCAGTCATCATCAATTCATTCATTCATTCATTCGTTCGTTCAGAACACATTGATTAAGCTCCTACTAGACACTTGTAGTCACTGTGGGCTCAGCAGAGCCCAAGACCGACAAGGTCCCGGATGTCCTGGAGCTGACGTACGGCAGTGGGGAACGGCTGGGATACAGACGATAACATGTGAACGAACAACAGGATGCTTTCTGATGTGGATGAGTGCTGTAGAGCACCGGATCCTGGACCATGGGTAGAGAGCGAGTGCCAGGGGGAGGGTCTGTCTTAGCCGGGGGGCCAGGGCAGACCTCTCTGCACGAGAAGCAGGCACCAGTGAGCCGGGGAAGGGTGTTCCAGGCAGAGGGCACTGCACGTGCAAAGGTCCCGAGAGGGGAAGAGCTGGTGAGCATGAGGAATAATGAGGAAGTCCGTGTGCCCGGAGCCGAGTGAGTCAGCATGAGGGAGAATAATAAGCGAAGACGGAGGGAGGTCAGCAGGGGCCAGATTTTATCGTGTGGGTGGTGAGAATCCACTGGAGGGTTTCAGGCATGGGGGTGACGGGGAGTTTTTAAGGTCCCCCTGGCTGCTGTGCAGGAGGGATAGATGGCAGGGAGGGCAGGCAAGGCAGGGACACCACCAGACAGCCATTACAGCAGTCCAGGCCCGAGGCTTGGAGATCGTTTATTCAGCAGAAGTTCCTAGTCCAGCAAATATTTAGCAGAGAACTGAGTCCACACTCATGTTGGCCCTGGAGGGTGGTCATGTTCAGAGTCTGAAGATGTAGGTAGGGAAATAAATATCTGATGGACTCCTATACATACTTCCAAACCCATTATTTCTGCCCAGTGGGAGTTACAAAGCCAGAGCATTTCTCCCAACCCCATACCAGTAGCCTCCTGGGAAGTTCCCCCAGAGCAGGGGATGAGGTTCATTTGGCTCTTATCTTGGCTCTCAGCACAGGCACTTACTAAGTATTCAGTGAGTGTTAGACAGAAGGAGGGCAGGAAAGAGACCTGAAATGCTCAGCCCGCTTCCTCTAGGCCAGTGATCCAGTTGATGAAACTGACAGGGACAGATTTAGTCTCGGTTCAGGCAAGAATGGCCCAAATTTCAAAAGTTGAGAGTTGCTGCCCTAAATGAGGTGGTGAGTTCCTGGTCTCTTGGAGGCATGTAAGCTGAGCCAGGACACAATCCATCAGGGATGCTCCAGGGAGGGCATACCCACCCTGCCTCAAATCCCTCCCGGCCCCAAGATTCTGGGCTTCTGCCCTGGCCCTGTGCCCTAAGCCCCTCGGGCCTCCAGCCATGACCGCTGTTCCGTCCCTGAAGGCAAGACCTGTACGGAGAGCTGGAGGACGAGGTCACCTCCTGCAGCCTCCGCCCGTCCACCCACAATGCCACGCACGCCGAGTACACGTGCCACATGGAGGTGTTCCACTTCATGGCCGACGATGTTTTCACCGTCAACACGACAGACCAGTCCGGCAACCACTCCCAGGAGTGTGGCAGCTTTGTCCTGGCGAAGAGCAGTGAGTACCCCGTGGCCCCCAGGGGCTGGGCCCCGTCTCCCTGGGCCACCAGCCCCCCATCAGAGTTGACCCCTCCTCCGCCCTCACGGCTCCTAGAGTTCTGTGCTTCAGATGCTCTGCTGCTCCCGAAGGTGATGGGGTGACAGCTAGGTTTGGTCTTCCCCAGAGAGGCAGCAGAGGTGTGAGAAGAGGCTGGACGGGCACCCAACACCAGTGCCTGCCTGTGACCTCGGACTGGTTCCCTATTTGTAGAGTGAGGGCCCTTTGAACCCTGACCTTCTGGGATTCTGTCTCCATTACGAGGCGGGTGGGGACAACGAGAGTCACAAGAGAAAAACCTCTCTGAGCTTTCTCCCTTTCCTGAGCTCCAGTGAGGCCCGGAATTTCCCTCCAGGCTGGATGGAGGGGGAGTCCAGGGGCAGGAGGGACGTGGCTGGTGGAAGCCGTTGTCTCTGGGGGTCCAGAACCAGGGCAGGGTGCAGCCTTTAGTGTGTGTGTGTGTGTATGTGTGTGTGAACCCAAGTGGCGTGTCCAGCGAGGGGGTGAGAGGCCGGTGCCCAGAGGCATGCAAACACAGACTGCAAAGAGAGTTCTGCCCCTGGGAAGGCCCAGCCCTGGAGGTTTGGGAGTTTCTGTCCCTGAGTCCCAGCGGTGGGGCAAGCAGATATGAGAGTGTCTGTCATTCACACTCTGGGGGCGCAGGTTTGCACCCCTTTGCTGAGGGGGTGTTGCACCACAGAGGGTGTGAGTGAAGCTTCACACACACCTAGACACACCCAGACTCTCTCACACACACACACTCATAAATACATCTGCAAATGCATGGATGTCCCATCACCGCCTGGCCTAGATAGCACGGACACTGATGCCCACGTTCTCTCTCATACACCTGCACACGCACACACATGCATGCACACAGGCTCACTCAGCCGTTTGGATCCCAGCGTGGCGAGCTCACGGGGCAGGTAGCACCCTTGCCCTTATCCTGCAGGGAGAGCGCAGGGCAGAGAAGGGGCTGCTCCAAGCCACATTTCTCTCTGGCCCCACCCCCAACCCTCCCTGTCAAGGTCCGAGGCCAGGCCTGTGCCCAGATGGGGCAGGAAGCGGTGTTCTGCTCCCCCAGCCCCACCCGGGCCCTTCCTGCTCCTGGCCCCGGGCCTCCCTGGGCTGCGCAGCCCCTGTCCCTGACCTGGGCTCCCCAAACGTCTCCCAAGTTCCTCCCAAATTGGTCCTCACCACCAGCCGAGGCCACACAGGGAAGCGGAGAACCAGGCCTCCAGCGGCCTGGGGAAGAGAGAAGCGCGCTTAGGAACTATCCAGAACAAAAGGACCCATCGCTGAATCAGCAACAATAACACACTGACCGAGGCCCCCACGAACCTCCCCCTTCAGGACACAGTGCAGGGTCGGGAGCAGCTGCAGAGTTCCTTTCTGGAACCCCTGAAAAGTTCATTTGTTGATTTAAAATATTCCTGAGGGCCTACTGTGTGCGGGCTCTGTCCTAGGAGCTACGGGCGCAGCATTGACGGCGGGGGGTGGGGGGGTAGGGACAAAACCTCTGCCCCCAGGAGCTAAGATCCCAGAAAGGGGCGATGGTGAAGAGGACCACAGCGGGAGATGCAGAGAACGTGAGATGGAGGCACACAGAGCAGAGAAGGCGGGTGGGGTGTGGGGCCTGTGCCTTCTCCCTAATGCTAACACAGCACAGTTATTTGGTTCCCTGAAGTGACCTCCTTCTGCTACTTAGTTTCGTTCCTGGGAATCTTCACCCCACACGATAGGAACGGGGGCCCTTTCCAGGAGAGGGAGTGAAGACTCATAACACGTCGTGTCCTGCTCAAGTTCATAAACAAACTTGGGACGGAGCAGAACAAGCGGTTGTGACCTTTGCCTGGGGGTCCCCAGAGGGCGTGGTGTTGTGGCTCTGGCATTTTCCAGAAGATGTCTGTGAGAGGAGAACCGTAGCACCAACCTCACAGGCCACTGCGGGGTGTCAAACTGCTCAGTGCAGAGTGGCCCAGCTGGCACTCACTCGCGGCGGCTTTCATCATTAGCATTAATTAATGATAAATCATCGGCATGAATGCTAATTAGAGTCTTTTGATGTCTCTGGGAAGCTGGAGTTAAAAAAAAATGATGCCATCATTTAGAACAGAAACAGAGAACAAGTGGGTCTGGTTACACGTTGCTTAGAAAGTTTCTGGATTAGTAGCTGACTTGAACATTTGAGAGATTTCCCACAATAATCTGGATTTCCAGGTTGTCGGTTTTTGGCCCTGGCCGCCCTGCTCTGCGTTCCTGCCCGGCCTGTCTGGCGGTGGCCCCCTTCAGACCGGGAGGGCTCTTTATTTCCTCTGTCCCCAAACCTGCTCACCAGCTTCTGTTACCTGCCTGCCCCTGATTTGCAACCCCAATCTAGTCTAAATCTCTCGTTTCTCGGATGAGTAAACTGAGGCCCGGAGACACGGGATCCTCGCCCAGAGTCACGTGGGGTTACCAATCCTGATCCCATCCACGGTGGGTCGGGTGAAGGGGGACTTCCTGTCACTGCGTCCTTGTCAGCTGCTGCAAAATCTCACCCCGTTTTATCTTTCTGGCTTTTTCCTTTAAGTCAAGCCATCTCCCCCTTTCAACGTGACCGTGACCTTCTCGGGACGTTATAACATCTCCTGGAGCTCCAACTACGATTCCTACGCACTCAAGGGCAAGCTCCAGTATGAGCTGCGGTACCGGAGGCGAGGAGAACCCCGGGCTCTGGTGAGGCACGTGGGGAGCAGACGGGAGGGCAGGAGGGGCCGTGCAGAGCGTCCAGGTTGGGGGGTGGGTCTGAGAGACAGGTGAGCTTGTAATTCACAGCCAAGAATGCAAACCAAGGACACACCAAGATGGAAGCTCTCCCTTACACCAGCCCACTCGGCGCTGCCCTCTCCCCTTTTCTCCATGGGGTAGGAGACCCCTTAAAATTCTTTTCTTCCTGTCCTGTTTCCTCCCCTCAGCATGCCAGAGAGGAAGGGATTGGCGCCTCCCCAGATGCCACCTCGAGTCTAGTACAGTCACAATAGAGGAAGTTTCAGAAATGGCCAATCTGGAACCTTCCCACTTTGCTTAGAATGGCCAGTGTTAAAGAGTTCCAGAAGTAAACCAATAACTAAGAAAGTCTGATGTTAGAGGGGCCATTGTTTTAAATATGAAGTCTTCTGGAGGTGTCCTTTGTTTAGAGTGTTGGAGAGTTCCCGAATGCCCCACTATTTAGAACAGTCTCAGCTGAAGAGTTCTAGAATTATCCATCCTTTAGAATGGCTGCAGTTGAAGATTTTATTAAATGCTGTTGTGTAGACTGTCCCCAGTGGAAGACTTCCAGAAACGCCCACTATTGAGAATGCCCAGTGGTAAAGAATTCCAGACGTGTCCACTGTCTGGGATGCTGCCAGTTCAAGATTCCCAGGAGTGTCCATTGCTGCTTCTGGGACATTCCCCAGCCCAGCAGGGAGGGTCCCCTGCCAGGACTGTGCGTGGGTGAGCTGGGATGAGAGAGAAACAGAACAGAGCACTCATCATAGACAAGGCTGAGGCAGTGCCCATGGCTCTGTGCTGCCCACACTGGGGTGGCCGGAACTCAGGCCTGGGCCTGATTCTTGTGGAGGCAGCAGACTTTCAGGAGAAGCTCAGCCCCGTTCATGGGGGCTGGTAAGGGGTGGTCCTGCTGGAGGCGGAGGCTGGCCTGGCTGATCCTGACCCAGGGCATCCTTCCATGTGCGCAGAGTCCAGGGAGAAAGCTGATCTCGGTGGACTCGAGCAGTGTCTCCCTCCTTCCCTTGGAGTTCCAAGAAGACTCGAGCTACGAGCTGCAGGTGCGGGCAGGGCCCCAGCCCGGGTCCTCCTATGAGGGGACCTGGAGTGAATGGAGTGACCCAGTCATCTTTCAGACCCAGCCAGAAGGTAGGTGTGGAGCTGGGGTGGACACCCCACTCCTTGTACCAAATCTTGTCCTAGTCCGGCCGCCCTGAGCCCTGAGATTTCCCGCACGGCTGAAGGTATCCGCTCGGTCCGCATCCCCGGTTGTAGCCATTCCATGACTCCTATGGAGCCCCTGCTGACCAGGCCCTGCATTGGGTGCCAGGTGCTTCTCCCGGCAGGGCGTTGGATCCTCCTGATAACTCTGTGAAGTGGAGATCATTACCCCCATTTTGCAGATGAGAAAACGGAGGCTCAATGAGATGAAGTCGCTTGCCTGGGTGGGGGTGGGAGCAGGATTTGAACCCAGATCCATCTCACTTCAAGGTACCAGCAGCCTTCCTACCCCTGTCCACTCTACCCTAGACCCACTGCCCACCACACCCTCTCCCCGTGGGCTCTAATAGAGGCTGGTTCGACTTGATCCAGTGTTTGCTTCCTTCGCAGAGAGAAAAGGAGGCTGGCGCACTGACCTGCTGTATCTCCTCCTGATCCTCGTGCCTCCCATCCTTGTCTTCTTAGGCCTGAAGATCCACCTGCCTTGGAGGTAAGGCCAGGGATTCAGGGAGGCAGGGAGGGGGTCCGCCTGGGCCACAGCCCCTGTATGACCCACCTAGGGTTGGGGGACACAGCTGTCATTGTGACAGTGATAGTAACAGTGACGGTGATAATAAACAGCTCCCGTTTGCCACGTGCTGGGCACAACGCAGAGCACTCACTTTACCGTCACAGCAGCCCTATGAGCTGGATACACACCAATTACCTCCATTTGACAAATAGGGAAGCTAAGACACAGAGCCGTCGAGGAACTTGCCCAAAGTCACACAGCTGTGAAATGGAGGAGGTTGCTTTGAAGCCTGTGCTGTTAACAATGACCTCGACTATGATCGTGTCCAGTGAATTTTAAGCTTTGAGTCCCCAGGGGCACGAGGGGTCCCAGGTGGGGGTGAAGGGGTTGGTGTGATAACCCCCGTTCCTTCTGCTTCAACCGGAGGTTTTGCCTTTATCTGTTTATGTGTTGGGTTTCTCCTTAACATTGCCATTGAGAGAAAGAGCGCTGCTGATTAAAAATAAAACGTGAACTCTCCCGGCCTTCATGAGTGCTGCTGGCTGAGGCCAGAATTGCAGCTCCTGTGTGCTGAGCCCCACTAAGTGGCAGGTGCTGGGCAGGGGCTCTGCATACCTGGCTCATCTCGTTCATCTTTATCCAGAGACTGAGGCAAAGACAGAGAAGCTTGAGGGGCGAGAGAATTGCGCTGATAACAGAGATATTGCGAGCACCCTGGTGTCGGGTGCTGGTTCCCTTCCTGGTCCTGCCCACAGCCCTGTGGAGTCTTTGCCCATCCCCTGTTGTAGAGGAGCAAGTCAAGGCTCAGAAGGGGCAGAATTTGCCCTGCACAGCATAGGCAGCCAAGCCCTTAAACTCCGTGCACCTTTGGGAACCTGTGGGCGAGCCTGGCTGCTCCCATTCTACAGATGTGGAAACTGAGGTCCAGGGCAGGGGGTGGGGTGGAAAGGAGGTGTCTGAGCGTGTCTGGGAGGCGCTGAGTCTCTTGCAGGACAAAGTTGGGGAGCGTCTGAGGGGGAGGCCAGGTTGCCCTCTGGGAGGTGTGGGGGCTCACCTCCGTTCTGCCCTCCCAGGCTGTGGAAGAAGGTGTGGGTGCAGGTGCCCAGCCCAGAGAAGTTCTTCCAGCCCCTGTACATGGGCCACAGCGGAGACTTCAAGGTGAGTACCCCCACTCGGTGACGAGCCCCCCGAGCCTCTTAGCCTCTCCCGGAGCCCACCTCCAGCCTCGCATCAGGACCCCAGCCCCTCTACAGGCCCGAGCACCCAGGTCCCAGCCAGGCCTGGGCCAGCCCTCATTCTCTGCGTCTGCAAAGTGCAGGACATAATCCCCGTGGAGCAGGGTTGGCATAAGAATCAAACAAGATCGTGCAGCATTTCTCAACCTACGGAGCCAGACTGGGAGAGGATGTGAGCCAGGTGGTCCCTCGAGCCACAGACTCGCCTCCTTAGAAGCCCTTGATATGGGGCAGAGAGGGGGTGGGTTCTGGGAAGGATATGGCCCTGCCTGCAAAACACACCAAGCCCCTGCCAAGTCCAACCACCGCCACCACCTGCTGCCACCCACAGGGTTCTCTGTGCCCGACACCCACCCAGGGGCGGGAGGGGCTGCTACAGAGAGGGTGTGGTGACGGCCAGGAGGGGCGGCCCACCTGCTCCAGCCGAGCCTGGAAGTCAGGAAATGTGGACTAGAGCATTGATTGAGCTCCTGCTGTCTGCCTGGCGCTGCGCTGAGCACCGTCTTTCCCCTCCACCCCTTCCATCCTCGCAGCAGCCCCTGCGGGCTGGTTGCTCCCTCGTCCCCAGGGTGCCCACGAGGAGATGAGGCTCAGAGCAGGGAAGTGGCTTTAGTGGGGCTGGGGAGGAGCCTGGACTCCAGCCCACACGGGAAGGACCCTTTCCTCTTTCCTCTGCACCTTCCCTGAAGCTCAAATAGCACATCTATTTTGGTTCATTTTACCAATACTCACATGGCATTTGCTGTGTACCAGGCACTCTGCCGGGAGCTTCATAGATATTAACTCATTTAGTTTAAGTACCTGTGGGTACTACTGTGGAGTGGGTACTACTAGCAGGCCCATTTACAGATGAGGAAACTGAGGCCTAGAGAGGGTAAATAACTGGCTCAAGGCCGCACAGCTAAGTGACTTCAAATCAGTGGTGGTGGCCACTTCAGGGTTCTGAGATGAGCTTGCCAAGGAGGATGGGCCCAAACTGGGCTAGTCTGGTCCTCAGGGATTTTCTCTGCTGATCGGATGGAGCCCCTGTGTAACCCCTGACAGGTGAGGGCACGGGGACCCACTACCTGGGTCCATCATCCCCCCACATCCCAGGCACGTGGGATGCAGAGGCCTTTCCACGCGGCTTCCTAATTCATTTCGTTAATAAACATTGACTGGCACCTCCTGTGTGCCAGGCACTGTGGGAGCCTCTGGGGATCCAGGTGTGACCAGAGAATTGGGCCTCTACCCTGGCCGAGTGTTCCTTCTGGTGGGCACACAAGCAGGAAAATTCTGGGCTTCAAGAAACGTCCTGAAGGAAATAAAACAGGGGATCTGGTGGGGCCTCTGTCACTCAGACCTCAGGCCCTCCTGCCCCCGTGTCCCCACAACTCGGCAGTCTTGGCCCCTGTACCCACACAGACCCCCGGCCATGGAGCCACCGATTGTCTGAGCTGGCAGGCTACTGAGGGCAGTGGCTCCCTGCTACAGGTGGGGAAACTGAGGCCCAGGGAGGAAGGGACAATGGTGGGGACCGTCCCTGATCCCCTCATCTCTTTTTATCTTCTGGCGTCTTTCTCGCTTGCTGTCTCTTTGTCTCGTCTCTCCATCTCTGTCTGTCTGTTGATACCCCGCCTAGCCCCACGCCCAATCCGTGACTCTCCCTGTTCTCTCTCACAGAAATGGGTGGGCTCGCCCGTCACTGCCTCCAGCCTGGAGCTGGGACCCTGGAGCCCAGGGGCGTCCTCGTCCCTGGAGGTGCACAGCTGCTGCCCACCGCAGAGTGCCACCAAGGGGCTGCAGCCCACGTCGCTGCCGGAGCTGGCAGACCTGGTGGAAGCCGACGGGGTGCCCGAGCCAGGGTCCTGGGGCCCAGCGCCCTCCATGGCCAGTAGCTTGGGCTGTTCAGTTTACAGCCAGGAGAGGGACCGGCCGTACGGCCTGGTATCCATCGACACGGTCACCGTGGTGGACGCAGAGGGGACATGTGCCTGGCCCTGCACCTGTGGGGATGACGGCTACCCAGCTCTGAACCTGGATGCCAATCTGGAGCCTGGCCCCAGCACTGAGGACCCGCTCTTGGGCACAGGTGCCACAGTCCTGTCCTGTGGCTGCGTCTCGGCCGGAGGCCCTGCTGGGCTGGGTGGCCCCCTGGGCAGCCTCCTCGACAGGCTAAAGCTGCCCCTTGAAGATGAGGCAGGTTGGGTCCCGGGGCCGCCCTGGGGTGGCGGGCCACCCCAAGAGGTGTCTGACAGCGAGGCGGGCTCGCCCCCAGCCGGCCTGGACATGGACACGTTTGACAGCGGCTTCGCAGGCTCTGACTGCGGCAGCCCTGTGGAGTGTGACTTTGCCAGCCCCAGGGATGAAGGGCCCCCCCGGAGCTACCTCCGCCAGTGGGTGATCATGGCCCCTTCTCCTGCGGGACCCGGATCCCAGGCCAGCTAGTGAGCCGGCTGTGCCACTGTGGGGCCCCTGAGCCTGCTGTTTACCACGTGCAGGTGGGGCTCAGGCGCACACCAGTGTGTCTGCATGTGTGAGCAGCACACGTGCTGGTGGACATGGAGCATGCCCATGGTGATGCCATGTGCCCAAGGCCACCCGTGGGCCTGGCCTCTGAGAGCTACCGTGGCCCGAAGGTGAGCAGCGCATGTGCCTGTGTGCACACGGCGACGGCCTCCCTCCCTTCCAGCCACATGGGTCGCCCCGGGCCACGTGCTGAGAGGCTGGTCCAGCGCTCCCCACAGGGCCTGCTGGGACCTGGGCGCTGCCTGTGACAGACACCAAGCCCAGCCCTCCAGTTCCTGTGCCCCCAGGAGCTGCAAGAAGTCCATGCTGTTCCTTGTCACCTTTCAGGGGGAGGGGAAAGGGATGGAGCAAGCCCACGGTGACCCTAGGGGTGGGAAGATTTTGGGGGACCCCGTGGACCTAGGTCTGAATTCTGACTCTGACACCTCCTGGCTGTGCCACCTTGGGTGAGTCGCTTCCTCTCTCTGGGCTGGGACTTCCTGTCCAGACAGTGGGGATGGCCTGACCTACCTCAGGGAGAAGTCGGCGAGGTCGCCCACATACAGTGTGCAGCCCAGAGCAGACCCTCCATAAACGTCAGCTTCCTTCCTTCCGCGGCCAGGACCGAGGCTCGTGCTGGAGGAGGGCGGGGCGAGAAACCAGCCACAGCCTGGGTGCCCGTGGGCCCTCCCGCCCTGCAGAGGGACACTCGGGGGGTTTCCGGGCTTAAAATCAGTCAGCCTGGCCTCTTAGAGATGGCCCCCACCAACAAGATTTCTTTTTCTGGCTTCTGCTGCCCGTGGTTTAATTCCCTTTCTGCACCCAAGAGATATTTATGAGCACAAACGTGTCGAGCATTGTGCTGGTGCTGCGGACACGGAGGGGAGTGCGACGCCTGTGTGACCCTCCCCTTGGCACCTCTGGGGGTCGGGGGCAGACAGGAGTCTGCAGTAACGGCATAGCCCTCCAGTCCCCCGGCATCTTATCTACACGTCCTGGGGAGTTAGGGGGAAGTCAAGCTCTTGTTGATGATTTCTCAGAGAGCCTGCTGAAATGCAAACTAAGAAGCCGAGAAAACACTTGGTGATGTTCTGAAGGCCCCTTCCTCAACAGCAGTTTTGGACAGGAGCTGGATATAAATGCTACATATTTCAGACAACTCATACTTTTTTTTCTTAAGAAAATAGATTGTTTTCCCCCAAAAGGTATTCACCTTTAGAGGCGGCTTTTCCAAGACCACCAAGCAGGGTTAAGGTGGCAGAGAGCCTGATCTCAGAGCCACCTGGCCCGGAACCGCCCAGAGGCTGGGCTCAGGGCAATGCCTGAAGGAGACAGCTCTGGCTTCTCTCTTCTTTTGCACAGAAGTCAGTCCTGCTGAAGGCTTCTCTGTGACTCCTCTGTAAAATGGATTGGTTGGGAGAGGTCACCGAGAGAACACCTGAGTCCTTGGTGTGGAAAATTCTAGAACATTGATGGTTTTACTAGTGGGACTATTGACTGGGATCATGGTGTATGAGGCTGCGATGGGAGCACGAGCGTGAAACCACAGCTCTGCACCTGTGAGCAGCCCACCATCCCCCAGCGTCACCCTGGAGACACTTGGGCCAAGGTGTGCTGTGGTTTTCACACCTTCTTGGGGGCAACAGGTTCCAGGAGCCACCTGGGCCACAGGCTGCCCGGGGAAGCAGTTCAGCTCTCCAGCACACGGAGCTCTGGGTGGGGGGGAAGGGACACCTGGGAGACTGACTGACGCCAGGCCTGGGGGTTGGACGGGGGCTCTGGCCTGGGCCAGACATGGCTCTTCACAGGCTCTGTCTCTGAAGGGGCTCAGCTCATAAACATGGGTGCAAAATGGAGGCAAGCACTGACCCACTAGGGAGGGTGGATGAGTAGGAGGCGGGCAGATGGATGATGGATGGATCAGTGGGTACACTGGTGGGTGGATGGATGGACAAGTGGATGGATAGACGGATGGTGACAGGTCTGAAGGAAGAAGAGTTGGATGGATGGAGATAAACAGATGCTAGAGATGAAGATGATAGATCAAACATGAGTTCCATGGGGGCAACGACTGTATTTTGTTCACTGCTTTATCCCCAGTCTGACACAGAGTAGGCACTCAGTAAAGCCTGATTTGTAGTGCTTGCTTATTTCCATGGTGTAAACACTTCCACCATGGCCAGTTTCAAGCTACCAACTTGACTCTAAACACAGAGTTGGGAGGAGATGCACACAATCGACTCCTAGCTGGTAGGAGCCAGCCCCAGCACACCACTGACGGGAGCCCAGAGCGGGCATCAGGAGGGGAGCGGAGGGGGTTCCAGGGAGGAGGTGGTGTCTGCTGGACTTTGAAAAATGAATAGGCATTATTAGGTACACCAGCTATTCAGGCAGAAGGAAGAGCCTGAGCAAAGGCCTGGAGATGTGACCAAGCCCTGAGCACCTAGAGGTGTGACCAAGCCCCGAGCACCTAGAGGTGTGACCAAGCCCCAAGCACCTAGAGGTGTAACGAAGCCCTGAGCACCTAGAGGTGTGACCAAGTCCCAAGCACCCAGAGGCATGACCAAGCCCCAAGCACCCAGAGGTGTGACTAAGCCCTGAGCACCTGGAGCTATAACCAAGCCCTGAGCATCTAGAGGTGTGACCAAGCCCTGAGCATCTAGAGGTGTGATCAAACCCCAAGCACCTAGAGGTGTGACCAAGCCCCAAGCACCTAGAGGTGTGACCAAGCCCCAAGCACCTAGAGGTGTGACCAAGCCCCAAGCAACCAGAGGTGTGACCAAGCCCTGAGCATGTAGAAGTGTGACCAAGCCCCAAGCACCCATAGGCGTGACCAAGCCCTGAGCATCTAGAGGTGTGACCAAGCCCCGAGCATCTAGAGGTGTGACCAAGCCCCGAGCACCCAGAGCTGTGACCAAGCCCTGAGCACCTAGAGCTTTGACCAACAAGCCCCAAGCACCCAGAGGTGTGACTAAGCCCTGAGCACCTGGAGGTATAACCAAGCCCTGAGCACCCAGAGATGTAACCAAGCCCCGAGCACCCAGAGATGTGACCGAGCCCTGAGCACCTGGAGGTGGGGAAGGTGGTTCCTTGTCACCCAAAGTCCAGGCCAGAACTGCTAATGACCCACTCTTAAGAGGCAGGAGGATTGATAGCAACACCCTTTCCACAGTTGTCACATTCTGCTCCTGGCCCAGCCATTTACCATCTGCAGGCTCTGAAGGGGCAAGGGTGTCCATTCGACAAACGAAGTGAAGATGCGGAATGGGCAGGTGACTTGCCTGAGGTCACATCTTGGATTAAAGGTCAGAGTTAGAACTTGAACTCTGGTCTCCTGATCCCAAGTCCAGCCCTTCCTCACCTTGCTGTGCTGGAAGGGACATAGGGAAAGAGGTGAGAAACTCCTAGCAAACACCTGTGGGTGTCTGTTGCTTCCGCCTGTGTAGCATCCTGTAGGAGTGGCTGACCCCAGCTCCAGAAGGGGCTACGTGACGCAGGCATGGCCAACAGAGCATTCCATCCCCCTGCCGCAGTACTGGTTCATGGACAGACGCGTGACCTGAGCTGGTCCATGTGCACTTTTGCTGGGATTGCTCAGCTGTAGGGATGGACTAAGCCTGCAGCTGCTGGGAGGCACCAGGAGAGAAGAGCTCGCTTGTGATGAGGCCAACACACAGGAAAGCAGAGCCAGGAGATGGACACATATTCCTGACAATATCTTCTGAGCTCCTGGATCCAGCCATGCCTGAAACTACATTCCTCCTGGACTTTTGAGGTACATGAGTATGGAAGTCATTATGTTGTTCACCAAATATTTCCAACTCTTGGCCTTCTGGTGAGAAGGCTTTCTGGCAGGATTGTACTTACTTGCCCCTTTGTGGTCAGGTGGGGTCACATGACCTGGACTGGCCAATGAGTTGTGAGCAGCAGTGATGAGTCTCAGTTCTGGACCAGAGCTTCTGACTGACAGTTGTGCTGCCCTCTAGAGCGTTGTTGCTCTCTGCCATGGTGACCAGTGATGTTTGAGATGGTGGCTGCTCCATCAGCCTGGGTCCTCGAGTGAGGAGACGCAGAGCAGTTCACCTGTGATGGACAAGTATCATGAGCAAGAGATAAACCCTTTGTTCTAGCCCGCTAAGGTTAGGGGCTGAGTGTTACCCCAGCACAAGCGCCCATCCCGACTGGATCAGCGAGCTGTGAGCTTCCCTTTGTTGCTTAAGTGGGTTTGAGATGGGTTTCTGTCCCTTGCAGTGGAAAGTGTCCAGCATTATTCTCATCTCGCCCCTGCGTTGAGGACTCTCCTCCCATCCTAAGGAAGGACCACAGCCAGAGGGACTAGAGCACCAGCCTCCATCACTTCTCATGAATGACATTGGGCAAGTGGCTCGCTGTCTCTGAGCCTCAGTTTCCTCTTTTGTGAAGTGGGGCAGGAATCAGCCTCTGGGCTCACCCCGGGAGTGAAAAGACAGGATGAGGACAGGAACATTAGATGTGCGTTTGCTTCTTCCTCTGTCTTCACCCTGACTGACCTCCAGGTCAGATGAGGGTCCCAGCCCCTCCCCAATCTCCTCCCCAGAGAATTCAGGAGCGCTTCCAACCAGGATGCCCTGAGGCTTACAACGCCCTCTGCCAGGATTTAAAGAACCCGAGAACTCCAGCTTCCCGACCATTCCCCACCAGTTACAGCGAGGTCTGGGCCTGGGTGCTGTCGGGGTGTCCTGGACAATCTACTTTGGGGAGGAGGGAGATGGTGCAGATCAGACCCAGCCCTTCATTTACCCCTGGGAAATGGAGGCCCAGAGGGGAGTGACTTGCCCAGAGTCACCTGGAGTCTGTGCACCCCACGCCACGTCCTGGGCTCCTTTTGACCTGCTGGAGGGAAAGCCTCTTCCTTCTCTCACCTGGGACGCAGTTTGGCCACTGGCACCAGGGGCAGCACATCCCCTCCACAGCCCATCCCGCTGCAGCCACCCTGGATGCGCCATCAGAAACTCGGGAATGAGCAGTGGCGCAAGCAGTTAAGTGCGCGTGCTCCACTGCGGTGGCCCAGGGTTTGCCGGTTTGGATCCTGGGTGCGCACCGATGCACCGCTTGGCAAGCCACGCTGTGGTGGCATCCCATATAACGTGGAGGAAGATGGGCATGGATGTTAGCCCAGAGCCAGTCTTCCTCAGCAAAAAGAAGAGGATTGGCAGATGTTAGCTCAGGGCTGATCTTCCTCACAAAAAAAAGAAAAGAAACTCGAGAACCGCCTTCCCCGGGAAGACGAAAGGGTGACACGCACTTCCCCTCCGGAAGCCCATTCCACCAAGAGTAAAGGAGGCAGGAGTCCAAATTCTCAGCAAGGTGGGAAATGGGAGAGGGTCCACTACAGCCAAAAAATGTCAACACAGGAAGGGAAAACGAGGGTCAGGTCTTTGCTCAAACGTCACCTTCAAGATAGGACCTGTCCTGGCCCCTACTCACAACTGCAGCCCCCACTCTCCCAGTCTGATTTTGTCCACAGCATTTAGTATGCTCTAACACACGTCTCTTACTTGTTTATCGTATTTACTATCCACCCCAGCAGCACGGGGATTCTGTCTGCTTTAGTCACCGGGCTGTCTCAGAGCCTGAACAGCGCCCGGCCCCCAGCAGACGCTCAACACACGCGAATGAATTGGTTGGTCATCAATGAATGAACGGATCAATCAGTGGCAGAGTTGTGGCTGACAAAGCAGTGGGCAGAGAGGAGGGAGGAGAGCCATCTGCCCCCCAGACCTGGAAACGCCACAGAAGGGGACATGAAGACAAAGCCAGGGGTCTCCCCTGGAGTCGGTAAATGGCGCAGGAGACCCTGCCCCTGAGGCAGCTAGGGGTCTTCCCCACCCCTACCGGCAATAAACTTGGGTTTTTTTTTTTTTTGAGGATGATCGGCCCTGAGCTAACATCTGCCAATCCTCCTTTTTTTTGCTGAGGAAGATTGGCCTTGGGCTAACATCCATGCCCATCTTCCTCTACTTTATATGTGGGACGCTGCCACAGCATGGCTTGCCAAGCGGTGCGTCGGTGCGCGCCCGGGATCCGAACTGGCAAACCCCGGGCCGCTGCAGCAGAGCGCACACCTAACCGCTTGCGCCACCTGGCTGGCCCCGGGAGTTTTTCTTTTAAAAATTGATGGCCCCAGAGAAGAAACCTTTGCATTCTGCAATTTAAGGGGTCTCCCAGCATAATGCTGGCTCCCCACCCCAAAGCAAACCCCATCCCTGGAAAGTGGTGTCGAGGGGGAGGGCTCTGAGGTGGACGGCCTGAGGTGGAACGCGAGCAGATCCACTTACTAGCTTCCAACCTGCAGACACTATTTTACTGCCTTGTGCCTCAGTTTCTTCTTGGATGAAATGGGTATACCGGTCAGACATATTTCCTAGGGTTGTTGTGAGACTAGTTCATACGTGTGAAGCACCAAGGACAGGGTCTGGCGTGTCGCAAGTGCTCAGAAAATGTTATTACTTGATCATCATTTTGGTGGACAAGTGTCCCTCACCTACGTAAAAGTAAGCTTTGACGACTTCAACCTTACACAAGGATGGACAACGAGCTACGGACACCTGGAGACGGAGATGAACCAGCAGGAAACATAGATGTTGGGCTGCTGCTGCCACCTGCTGGTGACACGGGAACGTGGCTGAAGAGTCGGCTGAAGGCGGTGCCCCCCCATTCTGCTGTCCAGGGGGACTCCCCTTACACCTGCCAGGCACTGTGTCAGGCAGCTTACACAGGCGGCCCTCAACAATCGTCACAGCAACCCTCTGTGGTGGGAACATGGTGATGAGGACACGGGGGTGGGGCAGTGGTGACTGGGGGGGCATGTTCCAGACTTAAGTCACAGGCCGTGTTGTCAGATCTCTCCATTTTTCAAGAGTAGAAATCTAGATTTTAGGGGCGGCCCCGTGGCTTAGCGGTTAAGTGTGTGCGCTCCGCTGCTGGCGGCCTGGGTTCGGATCCCAGGCGTGCACCGACGCACCGCTTCTCCGGCTATGCTGAGGCCGCGTCCCACATACAGCAACTAGAAGGTCGTGCAGCTATGACATACAACTATCTACTGGGGCTCGGGGGGAAAAAATTAAAAAAAAAAAAAATCTAGATTTAAAAAAAATGTGAAACCACCAGTTTTTAAAAAATGTTGGCAACTAACTAAAAAAAACGAAATATGCATTAAAGAGAACTTCCACGGACCAAATCCATGCCACAGGCCTTGTGACCGTGGCGGCCTGCCGGCCTGGTACGGGCCATGCCGACCGGCCGTAGGCCCAGCACTGAGCTGGGCGCTGCCTGACAGACCTGCGCGAGCGCCTGTGTCAGGCCAGCGGGGGCTGGCTGAGTCCCCGGGGAGGGGCTGTCAAGGCAGAGCAGGCAGGGGGGCTGCACCTGGGCTGGCAGCGCACGGCGCAGCACCTCCCTCTCCTTCAGTTTTACGGGGAACAGCCTTGCCGGCCTGTCCTGCAGCTGAAAACAAGGCATCTCCTTGGGGATCAAAGATTCTTTAGGAAACACACAAAACTAAATGCTTTTTACTTCACTTTAATTAAAAAATAAATAAATACATGCCAGGGGATTTTTTTTTTTTTTTTTTTTTAATGAGGAAAGAGGCTGAAAGAACAAAACAAACAAACCCTAAATCTACAGGACTCCTGGTTTCTCGCCAGCAGGAGGGAGCTCCCGTCCCCGCTGGAGGCCTGCCAGGCAGCTTGCCAGGCTAAAAAGGGAACCGGCAGGCTCCACTCTGGGTGGCTCAGTCCCAGCCTCGGGGGTCAGATGTCCTGCCTGGAGAGGAATAAGCCTGTGGGGCCCTTGGTGGTGGGGCACACAGACCCCATTCTGTGACATGTCCCCCACAAGGCCATGCCACTCAGGGGTACTTGGGCTTTCTGGGGAGCCAGGAGTCTGCTGTGGTGGCTGGAATCTGGAATGTGAGGTGTGCACAGATGGGGCAAACCCCAGAGGCCCAGAGCTGGGCCCCTCACTGGCCCACAGACAATGCTGAGGTCCGTACAGAAGGCTTGGGGGCCTGGGCAGGCAGCTCTGTTCCCAAATGGCAGCCACATCTTGGAAGCCTTTAGAGGACAAGCCCATTAGGGCCTCTCAAACGCACCCCAACCCAGGTTCCAGAAAGAACGGCTGGCAGCTCCCCTAAGAGCAGAGAACATGCCTACAGCAACGGCCGAGCGGCCCTGGCAACAAGAGGAGAATGGGTGGGGACCAGAGCCTCCGTGCAGCTGCCCCCCCACAACTCCCAGTGTGACGACGCAGGGTCCCCAGGGCCAGCCTGGGAAAAGCCCGGGAGCAGGCGGGCTGGTGGCCCTCTTCCTAGAGTTCTAGGCTCGAAACCACGGTTGCAGCTGGGGGTTCAAACCAGTCCTGTCCCTGGCACCAGGCAGGTGCAGGGCTCTCTGTGTCCGGACCACACCAGGCTGCACACACAGGCAAAAGGCCCACCCCCAGGGCGTGCGCCGGCCATGGGAGCTGGCGGTGGGAAAGGAGGGTCGTGATGACCACGCGCCTCAGAAGTGGACCCACTTGTTCCAGTTGACCTCGTGGGGGAACACGCGGCCCAGCCGGAGGGTGCAGTCCAGCGTGGGCTCGTAGAACACCGTGGGGCTCTCACTCGGGCTGGAGGGTGCCTCTGCCTCTTCAACTGCAGGCTGAGAGAAGAGCGAGACGGCCGCTGGCTTTCTCAGCACGCGCTTTTTAATGCAGCCAAGGAATTCCAGGCCCTGCAGACACCAGAGACACACAGGTTCACAGGTGCATTTACAGACCACGTCCTCGTACCGGAGCTGCTTCCCAGGGCGAGGAATACCTGGACTCGGCCTTGAGCGGCAAGAGGGAGTTTACTAGGAGGGTTTAGGCAAAAGCCCAGGGCAGGAGAGAGCGGTGTGACCAGCGTTTGTACAGCGGGAGCGTCTAGCAGGGGTCGCAAACTGGCTTCCCACGGGCCAAAACCAGCTTCCAGATGGGGTTGGGTTAGGCCTATATGTGCTTTCAAGTTCTGGAAATTCCACACTGAACTTTAAGCTTCTGAGAGAAGCTGGAGCCCCCGGGCACACGGGGCGGTGGGAGTGCAGGGCGGCAAGCAGACCGAGCTGGGAGCCGTGGACACACCCCAGCTCTTCTCGTCACCCACGAGGGCTCGGCACTCATTTGCCAGCCTGCCCCTGTGGGCCTGTGAGCTCACGACCCCTGGTCAAGAGAAAGTGTCGGAGATGAGACCCTGGGAAGGCCGATCTGTAAGCCTGGCAGCAGCACGGGGCTGGTGAATGATGCAGGGAGGGACAGCCCGGGCCAGGAAGCGAGGGCAGGGGTTGACAGCTGCAGGAGGCTGAGGGAGAACAGTGCTGAGAACCAAGGCTGGGGGCCAACCGTGCTAAGGAGCAGAGAGGCCAGAGGCAGGAGGATGGAAAACAGGCGTGGGGCTCATCGGCTGGGTGTAGCTGCCCCAGAGGGCAGTGGGGCAGACCTCTCTGTGCAGGGCTGAGAAGGGAGGTGACATAAGCAATATGGAGAGACACCTGGCTCTTCTGAGGAGCCTCTCTGTGAGGAGGCCGGTGAGCCAATCTCTGTGTCTGCAGCACCCCTGTTGGTCGAGCCTATATGCAGCGGCCATCGCCTAGAAATCACCGGTGCACCCACCACCCCCAGCCCTCTGAGACTCAAGCCCCGGGCCCAGAAAGAGGGAGCTGTGGTGGGAGCCGGGGAGCCAGTGTGGAGCCCTCCCCAGCCCAGCCTGGCCGCACCTGGAGCAGCTCGAGCACGGCGACGGGCTGCAGGACGCCCTGGTAGTGCTGCAGCAGGCAGCTCTCGGGCACGCCGGGCCTGGTCATGATGTGGTACAGCACAGCCTCCATCATGCCCTTGCACACTGGTGTGTTCAGGTGGCCATCCACGATGCGCCACGGGCGGCCGATGAAGCAGATGCTCTCGCAGGCCCTGCAGGGGTGGCCAGACAGGGGAACGGGGAGACAGCTCGCTCACACGCTCCACAGATAGGACACAGAGGCTCGGGGAGGCCCGGTGTGCCCAGCCAAGGTCACAGGGCTGGGGACCATCTACCTTCTGCTCTTCGACCTCCCCTCTCCCCTCCCACCTGGATAGAGGGATCTCAACTCCAGGGCCCACGAGCACCGGCCGAGGAAAGCCACGCCACGGGGACCTGCTCCGATTCAGCCATAACTGAGGCTGTGATGAGCTAACAGCCCCCACGTGCGCCCACACTGGCAAGGGAGGGAGAAACTTGTAACTTCTGGATTTACCAGCTCTATCTGGGACGCTGGGCCAGTGGCTGCCCCTACCCTCGGGCCAAGCTCCCAGAGGTCTCTGCAGAAGCTCTCCTGTGTCATACGTAGGTGTTCCAGACACACTTTCCTTAGAACAAAGGTTTCTGCTAAAAACTAAACCAGCGACTGGTCTGCCACACAGGGCCCAGGCGTGGCCCAGGCCCTGGACTAGCTGGACATGGCTCTGACTGCCATGATGGGGCCCTGGGAGGGCTGGATCTGAGCCGGGAGCACACAGCCCCACCAAGTGAGGGCGGTGTCCACACGCGGGAGGCCCTCTCACCAGAAAGGCTCCTGTGAAACCCACTGTCCAGACAGACCTAGGCACCGCAGGGTCTGGCACTTCTGGCCCTCGCCCTCCACATGCAAGGAGCACCTGCCTTGTCCTCACAGTGAGGGGGACAACCGAACAGTCCCACACATTTCCAAGCCCCGCTGGCCGAGAACCACTGTGCCGGGCAAACCATCCAACACCGCACCTCTGTGGAAGATCTTCATGTCCTAATTAACCCTGGGTCCCTTCTGGAAACCCTGAGGACAAGCTGCCCACGCTCACCGCCCCCACCCCAGGCCTCCTGCATCTGAACCCCACACTCACCTCTCCCGTGCTGCCTGGGAGAGGCGGCCAGCCACAGAACTCTCGGCAAAACCTGACAGAAGAGGGAAAGGATGTAAGAGACTTGAAGAACAGGTGGGAGCCCACCTCTTCCTCTCCTACTCATTCGACAAGTACTTCTGGGCTCTGGGGATAAAGCAGCGGACAGAAGGACAGCATTCCACTCCTCACGGACCTTCCACCCTCGAGTGGTGGGGCCACGGAGGCCGAAGCCAGCACACCCAGAACAAAACCAAGACAGAGAGCGGTGTGCAAGTGTGGGGTGCTTGTTCCAGGGCCCAAGGAACCCCCACACCAGGGGAAGTGAGTGAGCATCTCACCTTCCATCCAGAAGCCCCCACATAGTTGTGTGTGTAAAACTCCTGGGCAAAAACTCCCCAGAGAAAACAAAAACGCCTTTAGAAACCACAGGAGGCGGCATGCTGAGACCAGAAGGCAGGGTTTACACGGGAGGAGAGAAACATGGCAGGGCTCAGTCAGTGCACGTCTGCCAGTCCTGACACAAGGCGAGCCCCCTATTCCTGCCGCTGCTTCCTTCCGCCGGACACGCCAGCAAACACTGCCCTCCAGGACCACCGCTAGTGTCTGCGCTTGTAATGCACAGATCTGCGTAGCAGTGTCTGAAGCCTCCTGCTCTCGAGTGGAAACACTTAATGTAAACTGGCAAGATCCACCCCTCAGGGTTAGGCTATGAAGAGCTGAAGGCCCCTTCTGTGGCCAGTGGCAGGTTCCCAGTCTCAGAGGAAGGTGTGAGGCCCGGGGACAGAGAATGGGCAGGGTGGCGGACAAGGTTCCATACCTCTGGCGTCTTCAGAGCCCTCTGGAAGCTGGGCCTGACAGCTCAGCTGCTCTTGGCCAGGGGAGCTGGGGACCGCGATGCCCTCTTGGTCCTCCTGCCCAGCCTCCACTGCTCCTGGGGGAGGCTCCCTTGCACCTGTGTCTTCAGGAGCTACGGGGAGAGCAGGTGCCTGGGTTTCTGGCCCCTCTTCTGCTCTGGGCCCGGGGCTGGGGGCCAAGCGCACATCCTGGAGCATGGGCCTCTTTGCGGGGGGATTCTGGGTACTCTCGGAGTCAGTCCCCCCGCTCTGACTGGCTGCATCAGTGCTGGCCCAGCTGGCACGCCTCTTGGTGCTCCGGGGGCCCTGAGGAGGTGGTGCCTGCCTCTCAGCAAGGCCGTCCTTGCTGGAAGGCCCCTCCAGGGGTCTAGCCTGAGGGTCTTCTCTTTGAGCATCAGTGTCCTCCTCGCCTTTTAGCTGCACCGAGTGCAGGAGCCAGGGCTGGGCAGAGGCCATGGTCACCAGGCGAGCGGTGTTGCCGCCGACTTCCAGCACCTGGTTTCGCTCCAAAAGGTCCTAGGAAAAGGAGGAGACACACCGGGTCTGGGCGGGACCACAGGAGTATGCGGGTTTGCTTCCCCTGCCTGATGTGTTTAAGCGTCCTGAGCAACGGGCAAGCCCAGCTCCCTCGACAACTCGAGGATGAGGCCTGGCTTCCAGCCCCGGGTGGGCCACCAGCTGGCGGTGTGGCCCTGGACAGTCCTGTCCCTCTCTAGCATCAGTTTGCCTACATGGAAAATAAGCCAGATGTATAAACTTCTTGGAACCAGGGCTGCGCCCTCGAAGCTGACATGACTTCATGAGTCTCCTGCCCAGCGAGCATCCCCCACAGCGCTCAACACCCCACTGCTATCAAGGCTCTCTGCAAACGCCATCCTTATTCCCACACAAGCTACGACTCCTGCCCTCAGATCCATGCCACATCCTGCTTCCAATGTCCTCGTTCTTTCTTTTTTCTGGTGAGGAAGACTGGCCCTGAGCTAACATCTGTGCCAATCTTCCTCTATTTTGTATGCAGAATGCTGCCACAGCGTGGCTTGATGAGCGATGTGTAGGTCCGCACCCAGGATCTGAACCCACAAACCTCGGGCCACCGAAGCAGAGCACATGAACCCAACCACTATGTCACCGGGCTGGCCCCTCAATGTCCTTGTTCTTATCTAGGAGCTGCGCCAACTCTGGTGGCACATGGGTTCACCATCATTTTCTGTTTATTTTTATATTAAAAAACCCACAAGTCAGGGTTCAAGGAAATTGCCTGGAACCAGGACTCACATCCTGATTGTGTGGTTCTGGGGAGGGTTTGCTGTGGGCACTCGCCCTCTGGGGCTCTGGGCCAGGCACCAGGGAATAGAGGGAGCTGCTGGACCCGTCGCCTCTTGACAGTCAGTGGGATCTGCGGCCTGGGCTCCAGCCCTGTCCCTCGCTGAGGCTTGGCTCGCCTCCCAGGGCTCCAGCTGCACTGAGAGTTTTACGAACCATCAAACACCACGTGAACGGCAGTCGTCACCCCCAATGACTTCCTGCCCTCCTAAGGACTCGTCTGATAACCACAAACGCTGGCCTCCCTTCTCTTTCCCCGTGAACACTGCCAGGCAGCGTCTCCACAACATCACTAACACCTGACGCGCATCCTACTGCCTCTAACTAGAGACACGCGGCACAGGAGGGCAGGCCAGGGCCCCAGGCGCTCGACTTAACAGGTCCGTAGCTGTTCCATTCTTTAGGTTCTGGGTCAGGGATGCAAATGCCCAAGCAGGTGAAGTGGTGAGTGAAGGGGGCGGGACAGCCCTATTTGGCTCCGGCCCATTGCACTGAAGGAATAGGGCCCAGCGTGGCGAGACCGTCTCACATTCAGGAGAAGCTGGGTTTTAGCCAAAACCTCCCCTTTTTAAATGTTGACAACGAATTCATTTTTTTTTTTTTAATTATACTGTATGTCCCAAACCAAGCCCATCTGCTGTGTGCCTCTGGCCTGTGAACTGCAGCTTCCGCTGCAGCCACTGCAGGCCACCTGCGAGCAAGGCTCACCTGGACGTAGTCCGTGAAGGTTCTGCTGCGCTCGCCGTCCGTCCTCTCAAAGGCGGGGAACCGTCTGCGCAGCTCCACCCTGTCCACCCCGAAGCACCCCGCCGCTGCAATGGCGCCCTGGACCTCCAAGGCGGCGGCCACGTCTCCAGGCGTGTACCCAGACAACTCCACCTGGTGGGCAAACTCCTCCAGGCTGCAGGCGCCCTCTCGGCTGCTGATCAGCCTGGTGAAGGTGGTGGGGAGGCAGGAGGCTCCCACTGTCAGCTCCTCTAGAGAAGCGGCTGTGAGGACAAGAGGCCCAGAATCAGCCCTGACAGGAGCCCCCCAGACCAGTGCACTGGTGACCCCGAGGCGGGACATGCTCCAGTGCCAACTCACTGCTCCCCAAACAGCAGGCGGTCACCTTCCGGGTGGACACGGTTGGGCCCCTGACTGCAGCCAACTGGGCTGCATTCCCCAGGGCCAGTATGATTCTCCCACTCAAGACTCAAAGGGAAGGGCTCAGAGGCGGGGCTGGGGTCCGAAAACCGTAACCCCAGAGCTCTGGGAGGTCCTCAACTCGGCCTGCCCCGGGCACACCCTTCCTGACGCTCCCGTGTTCACTGCTCCTCAGACCCTGTGAGGCACCCACAAACTCCTGCTTTTGCTTACACTGGCCAGGGCTGGCTTCTGTGGTCCCTGTAATGGTGTCTCTGCTCAGACCACAGTCTTAGGTCATCACTACATTTTGCTCGGGTCAAGAGCCAGACAGAGCACAGAACACTAACGGTGGTCATAGCCGAGGACACGCCATCCACCTCGACTTGTAAAGACAGAGGTGATCAGACAGAGGCAGGAAAGGGGTGGGATGGAGGAAGAGAAGTGCAGGGAAGGGAAGGGGCCTGATGACCTCATTGTATGCAGCGGAGGAGAGACTGCCTAAAACGGAAGGTACGGGAAATGGAGCATTAGGGAAGTTATAGTTTCAAAGGTGATCAATACAAGAACTAAAAAAAGTGTAAAAATTGGAAGTAAAGGAGGTGAGAGAGAATGAATGTAAGCTGAATACTCATCTTTCATAGCAAGAAGTCAAAAGATAATACTTAAAAATGTCATAAAAGGGCATAAATCAGTTAGGGAGGGACAGGCATGAAAAGGCTGTCCCCGGAGAGCCGGCGGGGTGTGGGGGCGGTGAGGGCCTGCTGCTTTTCCCTACCCACCCCCACCTGCCTGCCAACACTGCACGGCTGACTGACGAACAGGAAAAGGATGCCGCGATAAGCTGGACCACGGAGCGCGAGCACGGCAGGGGGCTCCCCAGGCGAGTGGGCACTCGGGAGGCCCCTGGGGATGTGCGTCCTCCAGCTGGCTGCCAAGGAGGGGAGTGTTTTTCCTTGCTTCTGTTTTAGCCCCGACCAGCTGTGGCTCCTGCACTCGGCCTGCAGAGCAGGAGGCGAGCATCAGGGTCAGGGCGCAGGGCAGCGGGGCAGACTCACCAGCAGGCCCGAGCCTGGTGGGCGCGGGGCTGCGGCGGAGCCCGAACTTGACCTGGCAGGAGTTGACCACGATGCTGTCGTTGGGGTTGAGGTTGCGGGTGCTCACGATGCCGGGCGCGCAGTAGCCCCTCATCAGCAGGTAGTTGGTGTGGGACGCCTGGCGGGCTTTCACCTCGATGCCCCGGCGCTTGCCCCCTGAGCCTTCGTCCAAGTCTTCCTCTTCGTCCTCGTCCTCTTCCAGGGCCCCGTCCTTCCCCAGGCTAGGAGAGGAAAACTGACTGAGATGACTGAGCACAGGCCGAGCCTCTGCGCTCCACTGCCCCTTCCAGTGCACACCATCTCCCTCAGAGAGGACCCTCTGCGATTCGGCCTGAGCCATGGCCTGCGGTCACTACGGACACTCCCCTGGCACCTGGCTGTGAAGGTCAGCATGGACTGCTGCAGATTCATCTCCTTCATCCACCTTCCATACACCACACTCACCTGTTCACATATCTGTGTCTTTGCACGGGCTGTTCCTTTTGCCTGGAAACCCTTCCTAGTCTCTGTCCAAAAAATACCTACGCTTCCACTAAACCCCAGTTCAGCTACTATGCCCTCAAGGAAGTTTGCCACTCCTACCTTCTCTGGTTACCCCTCCTTGCCACACTGCACCACGTCCTTCTCTTTGGCACAGCCAAGTCACTCCCTCCCCTGCTCCCCCAGCACCGGAGGCACCAGCGGAAGGAATTGTACTGGACATGGTACTGGAATCCCTCGTTCACAGATGTTGAGGGCCCGTCCCGGGAGCTCCCCAAAGGCTCTGCTTACACCCTGCTGTCTTTGTAAAGCAAATGCCCGCACAGTGCCAGACACAACACCGAGAAACTCAGCACGTGATTGTTGAATGAATAAAGACGAGACGACTGAGTAAATGAAATTACAGCCGTTGAGAGGAAACGATGATGTCTGAAACTCCCAGCTGCACTCAGAGGAGAGTGCTCGGCGTCTGACATGGGAGTGGCTGCTGACCGCATGGCTCTCACCTCTTAATGACCTCATTCTCCACCATTGAACTGTCCACCACTACGATCTGCTCAGGGATCCTGACATCCACGGAAATAAGGCCCAAAGAGAAGAGGGTCAGGGCGGCTGCACAGTGTCCTCCAGGGCCGTCCAAAGAAAATGCCACCAGGTCACTTGGGGAGTCATTATTATCCTGGTCTTTGAAGGAAAAATTATCAAGCTGGTCGAACTTGCCGGCAGCCCGGATCCTGTCGAAGAACTGGAATGATTCTGTGCAGACGGTGCTCGGAAATCGCCATGTGAAAATCCTACACAGACAAAGAGAAGGTGAGGGCCTTTCTGAGGACAGGTGTAAGGAGCCTTCATCTGCAGGGGCTACGGACTCCTCAAACCACGACAGTCAAAACTGAACACACCAGTGTCTCCTTCCAGCCCGCGTGACAGCGCTGCCCTTCAGCCTCACTGTATGCATCTTCCCCTCACCCAAGCAGAGGCAAGATCTTGTTATCTAACTCTACGCCTTGCAGGCTCTCACTATAAACAGGTGCTGAATTGGGGAAGATGAATGTCCTTTTTTAATAATAATCTTTACACAAAGCCAGCCCTGAACCCCTACAGAGATGGGAGGACGTGTGTGCTCAATCTCACTGTCTCCATAGGCAACTGCAGAGACTCAAGCCCTCACCTCTGTCCAAAAGTCTAACTTTCCAGGACCCTGCAGCAACAGAGACAGAGGGACCCAAGAGGTCAGAGAGAGGGACCCAAAAGGTCTTCCTCATCTGCTGACCTCCCCCGCGTGGCTCACAGGCGAGGATGCCACAGTCAGAGAAGTGGCTTGAGGTCGAATGGCCTTGTTGGACTTGGACCCATGTCTTCTGCTTCCCAGGCCAGGGCTCTTTTTACTATACCAGCCGCTTCCCAGGAAGGCAAAAGAGACTGAGGGTCACTCGGGATGGGCGTTTAGGAAAGGAGCAAGTGTGCGGAGTCAAGGGCAAAGAGATGGATAAGAGAAACCAAACAATACTCATTCTGTTATCTCTGTTTCTGAATGCAGCCTCCATGCAGGCCTGAGGGCTGGTAAAGAGGTCAGCATGGAGAACGGGAAGCCGGCCAGGGCTGTCAAGGAGAAACGCCTGGGGATATTATAACAGATCTTCTCCGTGTGGTTAAGGAGGCTGGTGGTACAAAATGTCAGACTTGCAACAAAGACCAGCCACGCCTGCTGCTGGCGTGAGGCCACGCTGCGAGGGGCGTTCCTTTCACGAGTGGCCCCAGGAAGGCGATTCTCAACATTCCAAACCACGCTCAGACTCCCATGTGCTGCAAACTGAGTCTGAAAAATCCGTGACGGCTTCACAAGGACGTGTGTGAGCATGAGCCTGCAAGACAGGCACTTGTTGCAGCTCCGAGCTGAGAGGATTAGAGGCTGAGGTGGTGCCCAACGGGGAGGGTGCACTTTTAACTGGACCACTTATTTTTATTTATTTTTTTTTTAAAGATTTTATTTATTTTATTTTTTCCCCCCAAAGCCCCAGTAGATAGTTGTATGTCATAGCTGCACATCCTTCTAGTT